GGGCTGCAGTTTGGAGACCCCTGATCTATACTATCCATAGAGTCCTGTCCTCCTGCAGCCGTTGATTGAGCCGTGCTCCTCTTTCCCTCAGATGACAGAGTTCAGGATGAACAGGTGGAAGGGAGGTTATACATTAACCGGGTGTTCAACATTCGAGCCGACAGGATGTTTGCGCTCCTCTTCACCGCCTCTCGTTTCATGCAGAAGTTTTATGCCTCCAGGAAAGTCTTTGGTGAGTCCTCTCTGACATTCCGGTCATACATGTAAAATGCAGATTACTTACAACCCTGGAATATGTTTTCAGCAGAATAAATGGTGGGTGTTGCAGTTTTTTATGTCACACGATATTTGCGCAGCGGTAATTCAAACGCACATTTTTTGGAAAAAATATTTTCATTGAATTTTAGTGAACAGAAATATAATATAATATCCACTTTTTTAGTAGAATTGAAAAGATGATGTCACACTGATACTAAACATATCTTTTTTTAAAGTGTTACTAAACCCACAACAGTACAATCTGTAGATGCAGTAAAGCATGCTTGTTATACTCACTGTGGAACCTAAGGGGTTAATCCTCTTCATTGTGTAAAAAGGCTGTTTGATCCTGTCTGTTTGATCCCTCTTCCATGTTCTTCATTTTATCTCCTGATAGAATACAGCCTAGGGGACACTCTGCACATGCTCAGTTTGGTGTGTATTGCTAGAGAGTTTTTTTTTCTTTGTCTTGGAAGGGTGTATGTGATCAGCACAGGGCCAATCAGCACTGTCCTGACAGAGGGTCAGGGGTTATGCAGCCTCATAGGACAATCAGGGAAGAATGAAAATTCCTCCTACAAGCTTTAACCAGTGCTCTGCTGGACACTGAGAGAAGTCACAAGACTGTTCTAACTTCTGATGAGAGAGGGTATTTAGCAGTTTACATTTACTAAAATAATTGCAATTCCAATCTCTGTGTACTGTGGGAGACCAGATATAGTGAATGCAGGGTCCAGGGAGAGTGGACATAGTGAATGCGAGGTTTGTGGAGAGCGGATATAGTGAACGCGGGGTCCGGGGAGAGCGGATATAGTGAATGCAGGGTCCGGGGAGAGTGGAGGAGAGTGGATATAGTGAATGCAGGGTCCTGGGAGAGCGGATATAGTGAATGCAGGGTCCGGGGAGACCAGATATAGTGAATGCAGGGTCCAGCGGATATAGGATGCAGGGTCCGGGGAGACGGATAGTGAATGCGGGTTTGTGGAGAGCGGATATAGTGAACGCGGGGGTCCGGGGAGAGCGGATATAGTGAATGCAGGGTCCGGGGAGACCAATATAGTGAATGCGGGGTCCAGGGAGACCAGATATAGTGAATGCGGGGTCCGGGGAGAGGATATAGTGAATGCGGGGTCCAGGAGAGGCCAGATATAGTGAATGCGGGGTCCAGGGAGACCAGATATAGTGAATGCGGGGTCCGGGGAGAGCGGATATAGTGAATGCGGGGTTTGGGGAGAGCGGAGAGTGAATGCAGGGTCCGGGGAGAGCAGGATATAGTGAATGCAGGGTCCGGGGAGACCAGATATAGTGGCAGGGAGGGGAGAGCGGATATAGTGAATGCGGGGTCCGGGGAGAGCGGATATAGTGAATGCGGGGTCGGGGGAGAGCGGATATAGTGAATGCGGGGTCCAGGGAGAGCGGATATAGTGAATGCGGGGTCCGGGGAGAGCGGATATAGTGAATGCGGGGTCCGGGGAGACCAGATATAGTGAATGCGGGGTCTGGGGAGACTGGATATAGTGAATGCGGGGTCCGGGGAGAGGATATGGTGAATGCGGGGTCGAAGGAGAGCGGATATAGTGAATGCGGGGTCCGGGGAGAGAGGATATAGTGAATGCGGGGTCCGGGGAGGCCAGATATAGTGAATGCAGGGTCCGGGGAGAGTGGATATGGTGAATGCAGGGTCCGGGGAGAGCGGATATAGTGAATGCGGGGTCCGGGGAGAGTGGATATGGTGAATGCGGGGTCCGGGGAGAGTGGATATGGTGAATGCGGGGGTCCGGGGAGAGCGGATATGGTGAATGCGGGGTCCGGGGGAGAGTGGATATGGTGAATGCAGGGGGTCCAGGGGAGAGTGGATATGGTGAATGCGGGGTCGGGGGGGAGAGCGGATATAGTGAATGCGGGGTCCGGGGAGAGCGGATATAGTGAATGCGGGGTCCGGGGAGAGCGGATATAGTGAATGCGGGGTCCGGGGGGAGAGCGGATATAGTGAATGCAGGGTCCGGGGAGAGTGGATATGGTGAATGCAGGGTCTGGGGAGAGTGGATATGGTGAATGCAGGGTCCTGGGAGAGCGGATATAGTGAATGCAGGGTCCGGGGAGAGCGGATATAGTGAATGCAGGGTCCGGGGAGAGTGGATATGGTGAATGCAGGGTTCGGGGAGAGTGGATATGGTGAATGCAGGGTCCAGGGAGAGCGGATATAGTGAATGCGGAGTCCGGGGTTTAGTAATACTTTAAATTGATATCAAATGTCCCCCAAAGGGAGCTGTGGGGAGCACAAGTGTAGAAGCCTAGATCTGTAAGGGGCTGCAACAGTAATGATCTCTAGCAGTCTCTTATATACTTTAAAACTGCGCTGCGTTGAACAGCAACAAACTTTGGTGCGTTCAATTAACCACAGGCTACACTTTAAAAGCCTTTACAGGTTAACAGATTCACGTTACACAGGAGGTCCGCTGCTATTATTCTTGTTCTTGCTCTGACATTCACGACGATACCTCACATGTGTGGTGCGATCGTCGTTTACATATGCGTGGGGGACTGAAGTGCACATTCGCCTTTGTGCACAGGGGGACTGGGGCACTTTTACATCTTTAAATTATTCTTTATTTTATTAAAATTTTTTTTCTTTAAACTGTCCCTTTTTTTTATTTTTTTAAAATAAACTTTATTGCTTTCACAAGGGATAAACAACAAAGTGTGACAGGGCCTCTTTATGGAGAGATCTGATGTCTAGGAGACCCCAAATCTCTCCTCTGACCTGCAAAGCATCTGAGCAAACCGAGATTGGTTTGATCAGATGCTTTCACAAGCTGGTAATGGCTTGTTTCCATGAGACCAGGGGCAGAATGACAACTCATGGGGCCTCCGGGCTATAGGGGATCATGGGGCCCCTGTGTCCTTGCCCAAACTCAAAAAAGCCTATGAAAAAGGTACCAGGGGCATCTCAGGGGGCCCCCTACTGACCCCGGGCCTTCGGGCAGTGACCGAGTTTCCAAGTGGTCAGTCCGCCCCTGCATGAGACTGAAACCAGAAGTGACAAAAATCCTCATCACTTCTGGTTTGACGTCACACACAGAGGGAGGAACAACATCCGTAGATGCGGCAGTGTGCCACTCTTTTAAGAAGACTACCACCAAAATGATTGGAAGCCCTCTGTGGAACTCTGTTCTCACAGGTGGGCCCTGCCCTTCACCCCATCCTTGCTGTGACTTTATTTGCCAAATCATGACAGCCTGTCCGAAAACTCTTAAGAAATCTCAGCACTTTTGTAGCTGATCCCCCTGATTACAGAATCCATGAAGCAAATTTCTGGCGATTTTTAAATTTCATGGTCTACTGAAGGCTTAACTGGCCTTTTCTCTCACCTGGGTCTCTGGTTCATACACACGTGTAGGGCACTAGACTGCAGAACCCACGTGTAAATGTTTGATCCATATGGACTTCCAAGGACAGTGTCTCATCAAATCTAATCTTGATTCCATTATCAAGGACACCACCAATGGCAAGAGCACCCACCTTGCTCAGTGGAAGAAGCCTAAGGAGCACACTGTAAAGTCTTCTCCCTCTCTGTACCTGTTAAGAAACTTTCTTTTCTTTCATTTTCATTTCTCCAAGACTTAGTCTGCCAAATCCTTAAGCAAACCTTCTTTAGCATCAAGATACACCCCCGCCTTCTGTAGTGGACCTCTGCAGCTCAGACAGTTGGGTGTACAGTTGCAAGAAAAAGTATGTGAACCCCTTGGGATTACGTGGAGTTTTGCATGAATTGGGCATAAAATGTGCTCTGAACGTCATCTAAGTCACAACAATACGGAAGAACACAGTCTGCTGAACATAATACTACACAAACATTAGATGTTGCCATGGTTTAATTGCACATAACATGTAAACATTCACAGTGCAGGGAGGAAAAAGTATGTGAACCTTTGGACTTATTAACTGGTTGACCCTCCTTTGGCAGCAATAACCTCAACCAAACGTTTCCTGTAGTTGCAGATCAGACCTGCACAACGATCTCGAGTCATTTTGGACCACTCCTCTTCACAAAACTGCTTCAGTGTAGCAATATTCTTGGGATGTCTGGTGTGAATCGTTCTCTTAAGGTCATGCCACAGCATTTCAATCGGGTTGAAATCCTCCATTGTTGCAAAACTCCACGTAATCCCAAGGGGTTCACATACTTTTTCTTGCAACTGTAGGAGGGGGTATCCCAAGGATATGAACTGGAGTTTGTTCCATGTCCCCTCCTCGGTTTCTCATCTCCAACCTACATTCCCCTCCTCGGTTTCTCATCTCCAACCTACCTGTGTCACCGCCCAGAATAGAAGATCTTCATCGAGTCTTCTGGACCAAGGAGTCATTGCCCCTATTCTGTGGCAGAATGGTTTCAAGGTTTTACTGGTTTGCTGTTACCAAACCCAAAGGGGCATCCACCCAGTCTTGGTTCTCAAAGCTCAGAATTTTTACATTTGAGCCCAGAAATTCCACCTGGAATCATGTCTGCCATGTCCTACCTTGACCAGCTTCTGTGTACATTGATGATGCATACCTGCATATCCCTATTTTTCCAGTTCATCTGCATTTCCTATGCTATGCTGTAGGATCCCTTTTTCTGGCTCATGATCCTGTCCTTTGGCTACTTAGGCACCTTGAGTGTTCATCGAGGTGCTGGCCTCCGTATTAGCCCTTTTTCACTCTTGTGTTTCAGGATCTGTGTCACAGGTGGGGACACCTGAGGTGGACTTTTGGGCCTTCAGGTAGAACAACAAATTGTAGTGAAAGCTTCCCCAGCTTTTTGTTTTCAGCTTCACAGACTTTCATTGGTCCTGGACGAATCTCCATACTCTTCAAGAGTACTGGTCCAATGGTCCCCTATGGATCTGGGTCCCTGAGCACAGGAGGGGTTGTTGCATTTGTAGAACAACAAATTGGACAGGTTTGTCTCCAGGTACAGAGATACTCTAGCAGAAGCAGTAGATGCCCTGTTGGTTCTATAGGACCAGTATACCCTGATCTATACCTTTCCATCCCTGAAACTTCTTTCTCATCTGCTTCACAATATTGAGATGGAGGGCATTCCGGTGATCCTTGTTGCTCTAGACTGGCGTAGGTGGATGTTAAGACTCCTGGCTGAAGCTCTGTGGGCTTTTCCAGATTCTCAGGATCTTCTGGCTCAAGGACCGATTTACCATCTGGCTTCATGGTTGGTGGCTTTACTGGCACGACTGTTAAAGCCCAGCTTCAGAAATTTGAGGGCAACTGTGAACTTGTGATTCCCACGGTAATAAAAACTAGAAAGGCTACCTACCGCAATGTCTGTTATCAGATGTGGAAGGTATACTTCATTTGGTGTGAGCAGTGCTTGGACAAGGTCATCTAGAGCCCAGGGTGAACATGCCAGATTCCAACCCATGTTCCCCCTCACAGCACAAATCCTCTCCCGCACCAACCTCCTTGTGGCGCCTCCCTGACCTCACATGATACCACAGTGTCCAGGGCAGCCGCCCCTATTGCCCACCCCTTGTCCTGGCCCTGGGTGTGAGCCTGGGGCTTCCACTGTAGGTGTTTATTTTCTGATTCCAAGACTGCTGACCGAACCACTCCTTCACTAAGACCTTTGTATGGGAATTCCCAATGTAGCGCACCCCTGTCCATTACTGTGTGACCCCGTGGGCTCTAAATCTTGTTCTGTTTTTTAAAATCACCATTTGAACTACATTACCGACATTCCTCTCTCTACTCTCACATGTTTTGTTGACAGCACTGTGGAATGTGAAGGAGCCTGATAGTTTATAACCCTAGTGTGTAAAACTTCGCCCAAGGCCCACATACACGCCCTCCAGCCAGGGCTGCCAACCCCCTGCGACTTTAACTGACGAGACATGAAAAATGTACTGACGGAGCACATTCTTGTATGGACATCCAGAAATAGGACAGCAACCCCTATTGTAAACCAAGACAATCAGTATTTAAGCAGCATAAACACTATATAAACATGAATAATACTCAGATGAAGTCATCTGCTGGATCGACAATGAAAAATTCCAAACCAAGCGATAAAATGTGTGCACGACTAAAGCAGGCCATAGATGGGTCGAAAACCAGCCGTTTCTTTAACAAAAAAATTAAAAATAGGCCGACGTTACCACCAACGGTAAAAAAAAATCGGCTGATTTTCATCTCGTCTACGGCCGGCATTTAATTACTTCTGTCCCTGCAGAGAGCTCCGCTATTATATTTGACATTAAAAAGTATAGCGGTTGCAACATTGTATCCATTTCAGATACAGATGGTTTTTATTTGGATAAAAATAGATACATTGTTGCAAACGCAAGACTTTTTCATATCAAATATAATAGTGGACTGGAATTCTCCTCCTCCCTCTCCCCCCTCCTCCTCCCTCTCCCCCTCCTCCTCCCTCTCCTCCCCCTCCTCCTCCCTCCCCTCCTCCCTCCTCCCCCCTCCTCCTCCCTCTCCTCCTCCCTCCTCCTCCCTCTCCTCCCTCTCCTCCTCCTCTCTCCTCCCCCCTCCTCCCCCCTCTCCTCCTCCCTCTCCTCCCCCTCCCCCCTCCCCCTCCCTCTCCCTCCTCCCCCTCCTCTCCTCCTCCCCCTCCTCTCCTCCCCCTCCTCTCCCTCCTCCCCCTCCTCTCCCCCCCCCTCCCCCCTCCTCTCCTCCTCCTCCCCCCCTCCTCTCCTCCTCCTCCCTCACCCCCCCTCTCCTCCCTCCTCTCCCTCCTCCCTCTCCTCCACTCCTCCCCCTCCTCACCCCCTCCCTCTCCTCCCTCTCCTCCCTCTCCTCCTCCCCCTCCTCCCTCTCCTCCCTCTCCTCCCCCCCTCCCCCCTCCTTCCTCTCCTCCCCCCTCCCCCTCCTCCCTCTCCTCCCCTCCTCCCCCTCTTCCCTCTCCTCCCCCCTTCCCCCTCTTCCTCCTCCTCCCCCTCCCCCTCCTCCTCCTCCCCCTCCCTCCTCCCGAAAATCGGCCAATTTTTTTTTTTTTTTGTTTCCCAAATTTACCGATCAAAAAAATGTGCCAAAATCCAGAAAAACGGTTGACCAATTAACCCATTAACGGTGCGAAAATTTGTCTATTTTTTTTATTTATTTATTTTTTTTTTTTCGGCTGAAAAATCAGCCGATTTTCAACCCATCCATGGCCTGCCTAAGATTATTATTATTATTATACAGGATTTATATATTATTATTATACAGGATTTATATATTATTATTATACAGGATTATATATTATTATTATACAGGATTTATATATTATTATTATACAGGATTTATATTATTATTATTATACAGGATTTATATCATTATTATTATTATTATTATTATTATTATTATACAGGATTTATATTATTATTATTATACAGGATTTATATAGCACCAACAGTTTGCTCAGCACTTTACAATATAATGGAGACAATACAGCAACAATACAGTTCAATACAAGAGGGATAGGAGGGCCCTGATCCTGGGAGCTTACAATCTAGGAGATGGTGAAAGACCCGGGCACCCTGGGATAAAACCCAAAAATAATCAGTAGGCATGGCCAAACTTTGGCTAACAGTGGGAGAGGCTTAAAGGGGGATCATTAAACAGAATCTCTTCCTAGTCACTATATACACGGCATACATAGAACAGTCCTTCTACCCACAAAACATTTCTAATTACTGTCCCACGACTGACCGCCTCAGGACAAAGGATCATTTTTTTCAGGAGTAAGTAACATACAAAACAAAATATAGAGTGTAGCAGTCAGGATGAATCCTCTGTGCACGTCGGAGTCCCACCTTATACCAAAGTCCGCAGCATTTTTTTTTAATATATCAGTGTTTCAAGAGTCCCTCCTTATTTCAGAGTCCCCTTTTTTTTACTTCAGAGCGTCTTACATCAGAGTCCAAAGAGTTCCGCTTTACATCAGGGTTCCCACTTACATCAGAGTCTGCAAGGTTCCCCTTTACAGTGCAAGGGGAAACTCTGCGGACCCTGATGTAAAGGAAAACTCTGCGGACCCTGATGTAAAGGAGAACTCTGCGGACCCTGAATGTAAAGGAGAACTCTGCGGACCTTGATGTAGAGGGGACTGCTATGGATTCTAGTGTGAAGGTCATCAGAGCATTCCCTTTAAGGGCAGAGCCCCCAGCGAGTTCTTCTTTAAGGGCAGAGCCCCCAGCGAGTTCTTCTTTAAGGGCAGAGCCCCCAGCGAGTTCTTCTTTAAGGGCAGAGCCCCCAGCGAGTTCCCCCTTTATAGTGCAAAGGGCAGACTGTGGACCCTGAAGTAAAGGGGATATCTGCAGACTTGGCAGCTTCTGCTAGGGGGTCTCTGGTCACCAGAGACCCCCCCCCTTACAAAAGAGTCCACAGAGTTCCCCCTTGCATCTGCAGGATTCATATTACATACAGTGATTAAAAATTGGAGTCTAATTGGTGCTCTTTTCCCCAAATGACAGAATGCTGATACAGTGAGACTCTATTACATACAGTACATTATTTATTTTTTCCTCTTTTATTCAGATCTGGAGTCCTCCTCTTGGCAGCCAGACGGTAACAGCAATCAGACCCGGACCCTAACCTATACCATCACCATCAACAACCCGCTGGTCGGGAAATTCACCTCTGCTACAGACAAACAGGTACCGTGCGGTTCTGTACTGCACCATGGCGTGTGATGGTGATGTTAATATATTGGGGGGGGGGGGGGGGGGGTAGCGCTGATCCTGGGACAATGGCTTCAGCCTTTATCGTCTTCAAGTCTTAGAAATGAAGGTGTGAAAGACACCATGAACCAGGGCCGGATCTGGCCTATCAGATCTGGGGGTGCAGTGAAGAAAAGTCAGGGGGCATAATGTCAGCAAAAAAAAGTCAGAGTCCCCCTTTACATCAGGAGCCCTCATCGGAGTCCCCCTTTACATCAGGAGCCCTCATCGGAGTCCCCCTTTACATCAGGGAGCCCTCATCGGAGTCCCCCTTTACATCAGGAGCCCTCATCGGAGTCCCCCTTTACATCAGGAGCCCTCATCGGAGTCCCCCTTTACATCAGGAGCCCTCATCGGAGTCCCCCTTTCATCGGAGCCCTCATCGGAGTCCCCCTTTACATCAGGAGCCCTCATCGGAGTCCCCCTTTACATCAGGAGCCCTCATCGGAGTCCCCCTTTACATCAGGAGCCCTCATCGGAGTCCCCCTTTACATCAGGAGCCCTCATCGGAGTCCCCCTTTACATCAGGAGCCCTCATCGGAGTCCCCCTTTACAGCCCTCAGGAGCCCTCATCGGAGTCCCCCTTTACACATCAGGAGCCCTCATCGGAGTCCCCCTTTACATCAGGAGCCCTCATCGGAGTCCCCCTTTACATCAGGAGCCCTCATCGGAGTCCCCCTTTACATCAGGAGCCATCATCGGAGTCCCCTTTACATCAGGAGCCCTCATCGGAGTCCCCCTTTACATCAGGAGCCCTCATCGGAGTCCCCCTTTACATCAGGAGCCCTCATCGGAGTCCCCCTTTACATCAGGAGCCCTCATCGGAGTCCCCTTTACATCAGGAGCCCTCATCGGAGTCCCCCTTTACATCAGGAGCCCTCATCGGAGTCCCCCTTTACACCAGGTGTCCCCATCGGAGTGCCCCCTTACATCGATTGTCTTTATCAGAGTGCCCCCTTACATCGATTGTCTTTATCAGAGTGCCCCCTTACATCGATTGTCTTTATCAGAGTGCCCCCTTACATATGATTAGTCTTTTATCCCCCATCAGAGTGCCCCCTTACATCAGCTGTCTGCATCAGACTGGCTGGCTCATGGATCAGTGGATACACTCTCCGAGACCTGGGGGGGCACAGCTAAAATCTGTGGGGGGCACAGCCCACCCCAGAACCCCCCTAGATCCGGCCCTGCCATGAACCGCTGCATTGTACACTAGATGACCAAAAGCAGACACCTGACCAGAATATCTATATGAGTGAGTGTAGTATGGCACTCCAAGGGGGCTGTTCTTACATCTTACAGTATCATTGCATCCCCACCTCCATGTTTCCTTCAATGGGAACGGATAGTTCTGTGTGATGCAAAATGCACTCGTGTGGCCAGGCAGTAGGAGAATCCTATAAAATTCGGGGTCAAGGTTAGGGGTTCATTATTATTTATTATTACATAGTATTTATTTATGATTCTTTTTATTGTGTATTTATTTTACATTTATTTTTTTATTATTATTATTATCTAATATCACCCTAACAGGTCCGGCCCCCGGGTCCGCCAATTATTAAAATACTTTATTAAAAAATAATAAATAAAATAATAAATGAATAATACTGAAATAATAATAAAAGCTGATTGAAAAAGCTGAAGCAGAAAAACCTAGCAACAAATGTGTGGCCAGGCAGCGGGAGAATCTAAAAATAAAGTTCGGGGTCAAGGTTAGGGGTTAATTTATTATTTATTATTACATAGTATTTATTTATGATTTTTGTGTAGTTATTTTACATTTATTTTAGAATTATTATTTTTATTATTATTATTATTAATAATCACCCTAACAAAAAAAAATTAAAATAAAATAAATGAATAATATTGAAATAGATTTTTATTATTATTTCAATATTATTCATTTATTTATTTATTTTTTTTTGTTAGGGTGATATTAGATAATAATAAAAAATAATAATTCTAAAATAAATGTAAAATAACTACACAAAAATCATAAATAGATACTATGTAATAATAAATAATAACCCCTAACCTTGACCCCAAACTTTATTTGATTCTCCCGCTGCCTGGCAACACATTTGTTGCTAGGTTTTTCTGCTTCAGCTTTTCAATCAGATTTTTATTATTATTTCAATAATATTCATTTATTTTATCTTTATTTTTGTTGTCAGGGTGATATTAGATAATAATAATACAAATAATAATAATAAAAAAATAATTCTAAAATAAATGTAAAATAACTACACAAAAATCATAAATAAATACTATGTAATAATAAATAATTAACCCCTAACCTTGACCCTGAACTTTATTTGATTCTCCCGCTGCCTGGCCACACATTTGTTGCTAGGTTTTTCTGCTTCAGCTTTTCAATCAGCTTTTATTATTATTTCAATATTATTCATTTATTATTATTTTTTTTTTTGTTAGGGTGATATTAGATAATGATGATAATAATAATAATAAAATAAATGTAAAATAAATACACAATAAAAAGAATCATAAATAAATACTATGTAATAATAAAAATTAACCCCTAACCTTGACCCCGAACTTTATTTGATTCTCCCGCTGCCTGGCCACACATTTGTTGCTAGGTTTTTCTGCTTCAGCTTTTCAATCAGATTTTATTATTTCAATATTATTCATTTATTTTTTTATTTATTTATTTTTTGTCAGGGTGATATTAGATAATAATAATACAAATAATAATAAAAATAATAATACTAAAATAAATGTAAAATAACTACACAAAATCATAAATAAATACTATGTAATAATAAATAATAATTAACCCCTAACCTTGACCCCGAACTTTATTTGATTCTCCCGCTGCCTGGCCACACATTTGTTGCTAGGTTTTTCTGCTTCAGCTTTTCAATCAGATTTTATTATTGATTGAAAAGCTGAAGCAGAAAAACCTAGCAACAAATGATGCAACAGATGATATTTTTCTCTGTTGGCTAAAAAAAAAAAAAAAAAAAAAAAAAGCCAAAGCTCAAAAAATGGCTAAAAACACTGAACGAAAACGCGCAATAATCGCGGTAACATATGCGAAGAAACTGCTATGCTCAGTTATCAGTGAAGCCTAAAAGCCGCGCGTTCCTTTTCTTCTTTGTTTCGGCTTGATCAAAGCCAGGAATTGACTGGGGTCTCCGTGACGGGAGTCCCCCCAACGCAGCAGTTTTTTCCCCTTTTATCTGGCCGGAACCACATTGTACCTGTTCATACGTCCCTTGCTTGCTGCGGAACGTTTTTTTTGCAGCCATAAACCCCATTTTCTGTTCTGTTCCCGCAGATTCTGTACAAGGAGAGTCAGGAAGGTCAGTTGTACAACGTGGACACGGAGGTGATCACACACGACGTCCCGTATCACGATTATTTCTACACTGTGAACAAGTACTGTATATCCCGCACCTCCAAGCACAAGTGTCGTCGATTACGGTGAGAGCCACGTAGAAATGTACGAATCACATGAAACGTTTGAACCCGTAGCAGTTTGCGCTCATCTGATAGAGTAATGAGACGGAAGAGAAGGTCCGATTTAACCTCCTAGAGGGAATGGAGGAGGAGAACCTCTTCAGGAGCAAACTGACACCCACTATGGCACGGGTGTCCAACTGGTGGCCCTCCAGCTGTTGCCAAACTACAAGTCCCATGAGGCATTGTGAGATTGACAGTTACAAGCATGACTCCCAAAGGCAGAGGCATGATGGGACTTGTAGTTTCGCAGCAGCTGGGTGGCTGCCAGTTTGACACCCCTGCACTAAATGTTTTTAAAAAAATTAATTTCTTCTTAAACAAGAACTCCACGCCATTTTGTTTTGTTTTCCTTTGCCCACATTGCATGGGTCAACTGTTTGTTTTTGTCTAGGGCAGGGGTAGGCATAACCTGCGGCTCTCTAGCTGTTGTGGAACTACATTTCCCACGAGGCATTGCAAAGATTACAAAACTGACAGTTCCAGCTATGACTTGCAGAGGCATGATGGAACTTGTAGTCCTGCAGCCCCCCCCCCCCCCGTACGCTAGCTGTTCTGTGAATGGACTGTTTCTGATGTTATCACGCTCATAGACCAGCTCTGGATAGGAGGATGGCAGGAACAGTCCACCGCTGGATGCGGGGGAGTGCTGTTTTTTCAGAGGATCATGTAAGTATAGCTTTTCCTTGCGCCCCTGGACAAAACGAGCAGTTGACCCTTGCAGTGCAGGCACAGACTTACTGCATGCAGAAATTAAAAATTTTACCCAGAGTTTCCCCAAAATTACAATTCTGCAGAGATCTGCGCTAGTGGCCAGCTTATTAAAGTGGCTGTAAATGCTTCAGGTTTTTTTTTTACCTTAACCACACCAGTCCGTATACTAACCCCCCCCCCCCTCCTGTCCAAGCCAATTTTCAGCTTTCAGCGCTGTCAAACTTTGAATGACAATTGCACGGTCATGCAACACTGTACCCATATTAATTTTTTTAGCATTTTTTTGAGACAGATAAAATTTTATTTTGGTGGTATTTATTCACCACTGGGATTTTTTTTTTTTTCTATATAAATGAAAAAGTCAAAAAATTTTGAAAAAAAAAAGTGTTTTTCTTAACATTTTGCAAATGAATAATCTTTCTTCATAAATCTTGGCCAAAATGTATTCAGTTATCTTTTTAGTAAAAAAAAAAACCCAAATTGGTTTATAACCAACAATTTATAATTTTTTTTTACATTTTTATCTTATTGTTTTATATTATGTATTGTGTGGTTTTTTTTTTTTTTTTTTTTTTTTCTTCGTTTTTTTTTGTTTTTTTACATACTGTCACCCTAGCAGTGCAGTGTCACCATAGTGACACTGTACTACTTGTGGGGGGTGATGAAGATTTTTCTTCTTTTTTTTTTTTTACCCTGATTTGCTTTTACACCCATAAAGGCTGTAAAAGCAATCATTTCTCCTCTCTGGCTGCATTCTTGCAACAATTGAGAAATACTGTGTGAGCTGTGATTGGTCACAGCTTGTCACATGGTACAAGGCTGTTGTGAATAGCCCTGTACCATGTGACCTCTGTGATCATTCACATATTTCACACGTAGTAAGCAATGATGTCAGAAGTGACGTGTACCAATTGGCCAATCAGTGATCACATGAATCGGGACCTCACACAGAGGTCCCATACAGCGATTGGTGTTCCGCTGTGTCCTCCGGATCCCAGGGAGCCCACACAGGCAGTGAATGCAGAGGCCGTTTATAAATGGCCACCCGCTTCTACACTGCTCACGTCCGGCCATTTATGTACATGGGCCGGACGCGAAGAAGTTAAATACATATTTTTCTGTAAATTTACGTACAATTTTTGAAAGTGTGAAATAGAAATCGGTATCCAAGATTAAATCTCTAATAAACTGTGATATAATAAACACCCAATGTATTGACACTTAAAATTCCCACTTTAACCCTTGAAAGTCCAAAATTGTAAATAATAAACCTTTCTAGTGTCAGTGAAAATATTTCAATAAATCCAAAAATTCAAAAATGATTCATCCAAGTTCTGATTCATAATTACCGTTGTATCTCCAAGAATGCCGTATACCTCCAAAAGTAAAAAACTGGATAGTGAATTATCCTCAATAAAACGGTGATTAAATCATATTTAAATATATTTAAATCCAAAAAGAAAAACTTTTTTGTGCAAACAAAAAAACCACAAAAAAAAGTGAAAAACACGTGAGATAGTGAAGCACTCTGTACACTTCTATAATCTCCTAGATTGTAAACTGGAAAGAGCAGAGCCCTCGAACCCTCGTGTATTGTATTGTTACTGTCTTGTCTCATGTTCTGTCCCCCCCTATAATGTACAGCGCTGAGCATACACTTTGGCACTATATAAATACTGTATAATAATAATAATCACATTCCTCTGTGAACACATCTAAGTGGCTGAATCACATCCTCTTACCCTAAATGCGTATTATAAAAGCCTCCAGAGATAGTAATCCAGTGGATCCTCAATTCATTAGAAAACATCCCACAGGATTACCTTCAGATCCCAAGATAATCCTTCTTTCTACTCCATGCCTTCCATTTCTCTCCATGTCATTCATAGATAGAAGAAATAATAGCCATATAGTGCAATATATTAAATTTTAAAAAGATCCAGACTTTAATTGATGTGCTTACATTCATAAAATGTTTAAACCGCATTTATTCCCTTTTCCCAACCTCGAGCAGCTTCCTGGAACGGCAAAATGTGGTGTAACCTCACTTAAGATGGCCGCTCCGCCACTTCCGGTTCTCGTCCTTCGTCACGTCCCTTGACGCGTTTCATCACTTCCTGACTTCCTCATAAGGGGTGTGTGAGTTGTGACAGCTGGGTGCCCACTGCGCATGCGTTAGAAGCGCTGCGCTTTGTGAATGGTCTGGCGTCTTCTCGGACATGACAGGTCATATTTATCTCCGTCTGCCCAATTGGCAGTGAGTCCTCCGCCGCCATTCAATTCAAGGGAAAAACAGAGTCCCACATTGCCACGATCATCCAGCCTATCTCGCTTTCTTTTAATATTATTTATATACCTCATACTCCCTTCCGATTCGATATATAATACAAACAGACTATGCGAGCGAGGAACTTAATTATACTGATAAACAGTCTAATATAATGGGGCAGCACAGTGGCTAAATGGTTAGCACTTCCGCCTGGCAGTACTCGGGTCGTTGGTTTCGAATCCCAGCCATGGCACCACCTGCCTGGAGTTTGCATGTTTCTCCCTGTGCCTGCGTCGGTTTCCTCCGGGTACTCCAGTTTCCTCCCACACTCCAAAGACATGCTGGTAGGTGAATTGGATCCTGTCTAAATTGTCCCTAGTATGTGTATGTATGGATGTGAGTTAGGGCCCTTAGATTGTACGCCCCTTGAGGTTAGGGACCTTAGATTGTACGCCCCCTGAGGGTTAGGGACCTTAGATTGTACGCCCCTTGAGGGTTGGGACCTTAGATTGTACACCCCTTGAGGTTAGGGACCTTAGATTGTACACCCCTTGAGGTTGGGGACCTTAGATTGTACGCCCCTTGAGGTTGGGGACCTTAGATTGTACGCCCCTTGAGGGTTAGGGACCTTAGATTGTACGCCCCTTGAGGGTTAGGGACCTTAGACTGTACACCCCTTGAGGGTTAGGGACCTTAGACTGTACGCCCCTTGAGGGTTAAGGGACCTTAGATTGTACACCCCTTGAGGGTTAGGGACCTTAGACTGTACACCCCTTGAGGGTTAGGGACCTTAGATTGTACGCCCCTTGAGGGTTAGGGACCTTAGATTGTACGCCCCTTGAGGGTTAGGGACCTTAGATTGTACTCCCCTTGAGGGTTAGGGGACCTTAGACTGTACGCCCCCTTGAGGGTTAGGGACTGATGTGAATGTACAATATATATGTAAAGTGTGGAGTACATTGATGGCGCTATATAAGTACCTGAAATAAAATAAATAATTACCACATGGACAATGTTCTTTCTTTCTATAAAGTATAATATTAGGTATACGCTGCTCTATTAAATGGTATAAAAAGGGAACAAACTCCTCTAAATACTCCTATATTTTTCTACATCTCTAACACATTTTTACTAAAACAAATTATTTTTTGAAAAACCTTATTTTATAAAAACGAAATTCACAAACATTATAAAAATATTATAAAATCGCCATCTAGAGGTGAAAAAATAAATACACCTCTCATGTGATATTACTAGATAATTCATTCCAATCCCACCAAACTAAACCTAAATATTATTAGGTCTCATTAGATCTTAAAATTTAAATATTTCAATATTATAAAATACCCTTAAAATCACATTAAATCCGTACAATATTATATATTAAAATATAATTTAAATATTTCTTAATAAAATTATTTATAATTGTATATCTCAAACCGAGATCTTTATTTTCTCTAATATTATATATCTAAGAACATCTAAAATCAATATTCAGCCATCATTATCCCATCACTCCTAAATCAAAATCTACTACAATGACATAGTACATGGACTGCGGACACAGTACAGGAGATGACCAGAGACTGCAGACACAGTACAGGAGATGACCAGAGACTGAGGACACAGTACAGGAGATGACCAGAGACTGCGGACATGGTACAGGAGATGACCAGAGACTGAGGACACGGTACAGGAGATGACCAGAGACTGCGGACACGGTACAGGAGATGACCAGAGACTGCGCACACGGTACAGGGGATGACCAGAGACTGCGCACACGGTACAGGGGATGACCAGAGACTGCGCACACGGTACAGGGGATGACCAGAGACTGCGCACACGGTACAGGGGATGACCAGAGACTGCGGGACACGGTACAGGGGATGACCAGAGACTGCGGACACGGTACAGGAGATGACCAGAGACTGAGGACACGGTACAGGAGATGACCAGAGACTGCGGACACGGTGCAGGAGATGACCAGAGACTGCGGACACGGTACAGGAGATGACCAGAGACTGCGGACACGGTACAGGAGATGACCAGAGACTGCGGACACGGTACAGGAGATGACCAGAGACTGCGGACACGGTACAGGAGATGACCAGAGACTGCGGACACGGTACAGGAGATGACCAGAGACTGCGGACACGGTACAGGAGATGACCAGAGACTGCGGACACGGTACAGGAGATGACCAGAGACTGCGCACACGGTACAGGGGATGACCAGAGACTGCGCACACGGTACAGGGGATGACCAGAGACTGCGCACACGGTACAGGGGATGACCAGAGACTGCGCACACGGTACAGGGGATGACCAGAGACTGCGGACATACGGTACAGGGGATGACCAGAGACTGCGGACACGGTACAGGGGATGACCAGAGACTGAGGACACGGTACAGGAGATGACCAGAGACTGCGGACACGGTGCAGGAGATGACCAGAGACTGCGGACACGGTGCAGGAGATGACCAGAGACTGCGGACACGGTACAGGAGATGACCAGAGACTGCGGACACGGTACAGGAGATGACCAGAGACTGCGGACACGGTACAGGAGATGACCAGAGACTGCGGACACGGTACAGGAGATGACCAGAGACTGCGGACACGGTTACAGGAGATGACCAGAGACTGCGGACACGGTACAGGAGATGACCAGAGACTGCGGACACGGTACAGGAGATGACCAGAGACTGCGGACACGGTACAGGAGATGACCAGAGACTGCGGACACGGTACAGGAGATGACCAGAGACTGCGGACACGGTACAGGAGATGACCAGAGACTGCGGACACGGTACAGGGGATGGCCAGAGACTGCGGACACGGTACAGGGGATGGCCAGAGATTGCGGACACGGTACAGGGGATCACTAGAGACTGCAGACCAGGGACTGACCATTTGGAAACTCCGGCACTGCCCGAGGGCCCGGGGCCAGTAGGGAGCCCCATGAGATGTCCCTGGTACCTTTTTCATAGGCTTTTTTGAGTTTGGTCAAGGACACAGGGACCCCATGATCCCCTATTGCCCGGGGGCCTCATGAGTTGTCCACTCCTGCTGCAGACATAGTACAGGGGATGACCAAGAGACTACGGATCTTTTGGATTTGACAGGTACCCGCTCCCACTTCCGCGGAGTTCTCCTCCCTTTAGTGTGGGCACCCGGCTGTGACAGGCGGGTGCCCACTGCGCATGCGTAAGAAGCGCTGCGCTTTGTGAATGCCCCGGCATCTTCTGGGACCTGTCACAGCCGGTTGCCCACACTAAAGATGCCGGCTCAGGAAGACTGTACAGCGCTGGACCGAGGAACCGGTAAGGTCCTGCTGCAGAGAAGAGTCGAGCGGCTGCCCCGGTATTCTGACACGGTGGCAGCAGAAATACCGGACCGGCCACTACATATTCGCTTCATAAGACGCACTGACATTTCCCCCCCTTTTTTTGGGGGGGAAAAAAGTGCGTCTTATGGAGCGAAAAAAATATGGTACGTTCCCCACATAGTCTGTTTGTATTATATATCGAATCGGAAGGGGGTTTGAGGTATATAAATAATATTAAAAGAAAGCGAGATAGGCTGGATGATCGTGGCAATGTGGGACTCTGTTTTTCCCTTGACTTGAATGGCGGCGGAGGACTCACTGCCAATTGGGCAGACGGAGATAAATATGGTCACCGATCCAACGCACACACCCCTTATGAGGAAGTCAGGAAGTGACGAAAAACGCGTCAAGGGACGTGACGTTGCACGAGAACCGGAAGTGGCAGAGCGGCCATCTTAAGTGAGGTTACACTACATTTCGGAGTTCCAGGAAGCTGCTCGGGGTTGGGAAACGGGAATATTTGCGTTTTAAACATTTTATGAATGTAAGCACATTAATTAAAGTCTGGATCTTTGTACAATTGAATATATTACACTATATGGCTATTATTTCTTCTGTCTATGAATGACATGGAGAGAATGGAAGGCATGAGTAGAAAGAATGATTAAACTTGGGATCTGAAGGTAATCCTGTGGGATGATCTCTAATGACGTGAGGATCCACTGGATTACTGTCTCTGGAAGCTTTTATAATACGTATTTAGGGTAAGGGGATGAGATTCAGCCACTTAGATGTGTTCACAGAGGAATGTGTATATAGAAGTGTACAGAGTGCTTCACTATCTCACGTGTATTTCAAATTTTTGTGTGGTTTTTGTTTGCACAAAAAAGTTTTTCTTTTTGCATTTAAATATATTTAAATATGATTTTAATCCCTGTTTTATTGAGGATAATACACTATCCAGTTTTTTTTCTTTTGGAGGTATACGGCATTCTTGGAGATACACGGTGATTATGAATCAGAACTCGGATGAATCATTTTTGGAGTTTTTGAAATATATTCACTGACACTAACAAGGTTTATTATTTACAATTTTTGAAAGTGGATGACAGGGTCTCTTTGAAAGTTCCCTTCTTCTTTAAAATGCATTTACCCTTTCTGTTCCCTCAAACTTCATTCCCAAATCCTACTGAGCCAGATCTCAGAAAGCGACAACCAACGTATGTCCCTCTGGAATGCTGGTCTACACTGTAGGTGTTTCTTCTGTAATGTTCGGGATAAATCTAAAGCCTTCATACTAATTGCCGCGTGTCTTTGTGTGTCCAGTGTGATCACAGATGTGAAGTACAGGAAGCAGCCATGGGGTCTCGTTAAGACTTTCATTGAGAGAAATTCCTGGAGTGGTCTAGAGGATTACTTTAAGCAGTTGGGTAAGTCCTCTTCCTAAATGCTACACCAGCCTAAACCCCGAGGACTGTACGATGGAAAGTCCATTACAGGGATGTAAAATACAACCTGATCTTCAAGTAGTTTCAACCCTTGAGGGCCATTAGGAATGATTGGAATTTTGCTTTGACAAAATCTCATTGATGCAGATAGGAGAAAGGAAGGTGGATTCTGTTGGTGTTTAATGGGCTTTTCATGGTTCCTGTGGGCTAGGGAAGCCTTTTTCAACTAGCCTGGACTTGTTCTGTCACAAATGTCCTCACTTTAGCTGAGACCATAATGTGAGATACTGAGGAACCAAAAAAGGACACCAACCCAGTCCCCATGTCCCTAATATTATCCCCACTAACCCCAGGGCAGTGCTTTGTGGATAAATTTAGCTCTAGTTTTTATCTGAATCCAATTGTGTGATGATTGCAGTGTATATGGTAGTGGTTTGTGTTCAGACTGAATAATATATTGATTGGATGAGATGGACAAGTTCTTATTGTGTCCAGTTAAATGATAGCTGGGGTTGGATCCAGCCTGTCTGATGTGGGGATACAGTAAAAAATGTCAGGGGGCAGAGGATACAGTCAGCAGTTTGTAGGGCAGTATACAGAGGCCATTCATTTTTAGGGCATTGTTCAAGGTCAGAAGGGCAGTTTATGGGGTCAGCAGGGAGGAGGACTGTGTTCAGAAGGGCAGTTTATGGGGTCAGCAGGGAGGAGGACTGTGTTCAGAAGGGCAGTTTATGGGGTCAGCAGGGAGGAGGACTGTGTTCAAAGGGCAGTTTATGGGGTCAGCAGTGGTGGGGAGGATAGTGTTCAGAAGGGCAGTTTATGGGGTCAGCAGGGAAGAGGACTGTGTTCAGAAGGGCAGTTTATGGGATCAGCAGAGAGGAGGACTGTGTTCAGAAGGGCAGTTTATGGGGTCAGCAGGGAGGAGGACTGTGTTCAGAAGGGCAGTTTATGGGGTCAGCAGAGGTGGGGAGGATAGTGTTCAGAAGGGCAGTTTATGGGGTCAGCAGAGGTGGGGAGGATAGTGTTCAGAAGGGCAGTTTATGGGGTCAGCAGAGAAGAGGACTGTGTTCAGAAGGGCAGTTTATGGGGTCAGCAGGGAGGAGGACTGTGTTCAGAAGGGCAGTTTATGGGGTCAGCAGGGAGGAGGACTGTGTTCAGAAGGGCAGTGTATGGGGTTAGTGGGCGAAGGATAGGGTTCAGAAAGTCAGTTTATGGGGTCAGCAGGGTAGAAGACAGAGCTCAACAGGGCAGTGCACTGGGGTCCACAGGGTGGAGGACAAGGGTCAGTAGAACGGATCACAGGGGTCAGTAGGCAAGTGTACAGGGGTCACCAGAGCTGAGGATAGGGGTCAGCAGGATAAAGGACAAGGATCAGCAAGGTGGAGGTCAGGGGTGGCTTTTGGAGGGGTGCAACTGAAATCTGGGGTGCACACCCACCCCAGTACTTCCTCAGATCCTGCCACGATATGAAAAATAAGTTTTGGCCCCCAAAAGGTCAGTAGAGGAGGAAGGCAGAAATGAGAAATCAAGGTGCTTTCTAGTGGTTTCAGGGATGCAATGTTCTATTAAAGAAGACATCCTCACTAAAAAACCAAGTACATGTAACTCCGCATGCACCTTCCAAAACATCTGAAAGTCCGTTTAAAACTCAAATATTCAGCTAATAGAAATCCACATCCTGGTCTGTAGGGGCACTGGTAACTAAGCTAGGGCCTCACAGATGCACCATAGGAAGGCTACATCACCAGTGCCTTCAAGGGTCCAGGGATGAGCTCAGACTTGTTCAGATGCTCTTCTGAACCCATGTGGCCGAGCCCACCAGGAAGCGGTCAACTTTACCTGGCCAATCCTTTGTGGCAGGGGGCATTTCCCGCCCTCAGCTGCCCGTACATAAGGGGCTTCTATAGATGCCTTGGCAACCAATGATTGACCCAATACAGAAGGACATCTTCTTGCACAGGTCCCTCTCGACAAATTCTCCAGCAGGGCAACTGTAATCCAGCAGCGCATTACACACCAGCTTCATCTGGGACAGAGCCTAGAGGAGGAAGAAAAACTCTGGGAGGTTGCTCAAAACATCTATCACCTTCTCTCAGCTAAACTAAAGCAATCCATATCCTGATCTTCAGAAGAACCTGCAGAGCACAGAAAAAGTCAACACTAGGAGTACAGCTATCTCTATACTTCCCAGGACGCTTAATAAGTGAGATCTCTGTCTCCTCACCAACAATCCGCTCTGCTGTTCATTCACAAAAGCCTTTGTTTCCATTCACATAATACAAAGCTCTCTGTGATTGGGCAGATTGAGGGGAAGGGTAGGCACAGTGGCTATGCAACTTGCAGGAGCTGAGATCAGAAGGTCAAGTGTCGGAGTGCCAGAAGTATAGCGTTAGCTATGCTCCCAGCACTCAGTAAAAATGTAAGAGAAAGCCATGAGGTGGCATGCACCTTGGTGGGATTTAACTCCTAGTAATCTAGAACATTTTACAGAGTGGTTGAATTCCTGGAGTTCAGCTTTGAAAAATTCCTGACACAGGATCAAATCTTGCACGCTCTATACTAGGCTTCTGCTAGAATACTTTCCTTTAGAAGGTAAACCATAAAAATAATTTTCAGGATGAAATGAAAGGATATATATAAAGACCTAAAAATAATTTGTGAAGGTAACCGTGGTTGTGGAGACTTTTAAACCAAAGGACTGTCCCACCACGAGAAGGTGGAAGCCATGCAAATGCTCTGTTGGGTGTGTGTTTTCTGTCTTTAACAATCGTTTCTTGCGGTGTCACAGAATTGGATCTGCTGGCGGAGGAGACTCCGGGAAGCCAATTGCAGGACAGCAGCAAAGCCAGCAGCATCAGGCGGAGGAGACGGACACACAGCCGCAGTCACACAGACCACCTAACTAAACACAGTTCACAGCATGACTCCGGGGAGGCGGGGCTCGACACCCCGCAGGAAATTTCAGGTACACTCTTTATACATTGTATATATACTTAAGATGCCCAATAAAGGTGTAGTACTACTAGTCTCAGCAGGCTGACCTCTACAAATCAAAAAGAATATATACGAGCGCATCTATGGACTAGCAGCTGAACATTAGGTACCATACACCCAAAACAATATAAATCAAAAGATGCAGCGCTTTAGAACTAGAACGTAATATTGAATGAATCAAAACAATGAGTCAATATTAAATAACTGAACAAATGCAACAGTTCATATAATAGGTGACTTTAGTGCTCTCCTCTATTTCGTATCCTCCTGATGATCAGGCGTTGTGAAAAATAGTGCTGAAGAAGTGCACACTCACCAGAACGCACAGGTATATGAGCGTTTTTCAATATAGATTCCCCTTAGAATCATCAGCTGGACAGGATGTGATAGTATGACAGCCTCCTTCCAGAGCTCCTAGATATTCCTGTGTAGTCCCTTGATAGGTGACCTGCAGACTTCTCCTTAAGGCTTGTATGCGTTTCTTACCCCGCAGAGAGATGAGTGACTAAATTGAATACTCCCCAAGGGAGTCAAAACAAAACGTATCCATAGTGTAGTAGGTCATATAAAAAGAATTTATTAAAATCTCAGCAATCCGTGTACACGGCAGTGTATAAACAATGTGGACTGACCGTCCACTCGTGGCAAATCCCCCCAGACGACGTGCGTGTGCACGAAACGCGTAGGAGGAGCCAGGAACGCCGTGACGTCACACCGCCGGAGCATCGTGGAGCTCCGGCGGCCATCTTTACCATTGGACGGTCAGTCCACATTGTTTATACACTGCCGTGTACACGGATTGCTGAGATTTTAATAAATTCTTTTTATATGACCTACTACACTATGGATACGTTTTTTTGTTTTGACTCCCTTGGGGAGTATTCAATTTAGTCACTCATCTCTCTGCGGGGTAAGAAACGCATACAAGCCTTAAGGAGAAGTCTGCAGGTCACCTATCAAGGGACTACACAGGAATATCTAGGAGCTCTGGAAGGAGGCTGTCATACTATCACATCCTGTCCAGCTGATGATTCTAAGGGGAATCTATATTGAAAAACGCTCATATACCTGTGCGTTCTGGTGAGTGTGCAGCACTTCTTCAGCACTATTTTTCACAACGCCTGATCATCAGGAGGATACGAAATAGAGGAGAGCACTAAAGTCACCTATTATATGAACTGTTGCATTTGTTCAGTTATTTAATATTGACTCATTGTTTTGATTCATTCAATATTACGTTCTAGTTCTAAAGCGCTGCATCTTTTGATTTATATTGACCTCTACAAATGCCTCAGTCGGAGGCGTCCCTAGGGTTGGTGTCACCCGGTGCGGTAACACTTGGTGACACCCCCTCCGACGATCCCCGCAGGATGGATCAGAGTCCGATCCATTATGCTCAATCCGCAGATCCGATCCATCCTGCGGGGATCATCGACTTTCTTTACAACTTCCCTTTTCTTAGAGCGGATTCGGTGTTGCCCTGTATAGGTTGCATGCCGATGATCCCCGCAGGATGGTTCGGATCTGAGGATTGAGCATAATGGATCAGAGTCTGATCCATTATGCTCCCCAATCTGCAGATCCCATCCATCCTGCGGAGATCGTCGGCTTGCTTTACAACTTACCTTTTCGTGGAGCGGGTCCGGTGTCGCCCCGTATAAGTTGCATGCCGATGATCTCCGCAGGATGGATGGGATCTGCGGATTGGGGAGCATAATGGATCGGACTCTGATCCATTATGCTCAATCCGCAGATCCGATCCATCCTGCGGAGATCGTTTGACTTGCTTTACAACTTACTTTTTTTTTTGTGGAGCGGGTCCAGTGTCACCCCATGCAGTCGGTGTCACCTGGTGCCAGCCGCACCACCTGCACCTGCCTCGGGACGCCACTGGCCCCAGTACTTACTCTCCTGGGCCCATCCCCTCTCAGGGCAGAATCTTCAATGTATGGTGGGGTGAATAGGTTCGGTGTCAGTCACTTTAGTCTTTAAGTAGATTTATTGCTGAATTTAATGTAATCTCCAAACACGGAAAGGTTTCTTCACAGTAAGAGCTGTGAAAATGTGGGATGGACTCCCTCAAGAGTTGGTTCTAGCCAGCTCAATGGATTGCTTTAAAAAAGGCCTGGATTCTTTCTAATGCAGGCCATACATTGTTCGAATTCCGAACAATTTTTCATCCGAAAATCGAAAACGTCGTTTGCTCGGTAAATCCGATGGCGCCATCATTGATATCGAAAATTGGCCGACCGAGTCATAAAGTTCACCCCATATACCAGGCGAAACTTCTGTTCCTTCCAGGTCACGGCTCATGGCGCATATTCTTTTCGGAAAAATGATCGTACGATTTGACCATCATTGAGTCAAAAATCGGTTGTTTTTCATGAATTTTCCAACGTGCCCAATCACCAAAAAGGGGAGGAACCACGAAAATCGGGCGGTGTCATTGACCCCACTAACAGAGTGAAAATCGTCCGATTATTCTTAGGTCTGATTTTCAGACGAAGAATCGATCGAATTGCAACCCATGTATGGCCGGCCTTAGATACACAGAATATAACTGGATCAGGGGCGGACTGACCATTAGAGCACTCGGGGCACTGCCCAAGGGCCCAGGGTCAGTAAGGGGCCCCATGAAATGCCCCTGGTACCTTTTTTTTTTTTTTTTTTTTTTTTTTTTATAGGCTTTTTTGGGTGTGCTTTGAGTGTAGTCAAGGACACAGGGGCCCCATGATCCCCTATTGCCCAGGGGCCCCATGAGTTGTCAGTCCTCCCCTGAACTGGATATAACATTTATAGATATAGTTGATCCAGGGAATATCCGATTGCCTCTCGGGGGATCAGGAGGGATTTTTTTCCCAGCAGGAGCAAATTGGATCGTGCTTTGCTGGGTTTTTTTCCTTCCTCTGGATCAACTGTGGGTGTAGGATTATAACTTTTTTTTTTTTTTATGGTTGAACTGGATGGACTTTTGTTTTTTTTTTCAGCCAGACTAACTATGTAACTATGCAACTTCTCAAGGAAGGGGGGTTGGGGATACAGGATACCCCAAAAATATTGCAGTAAATCTGTCTCACACAGGCTGATGGATGGACAGCGCAGAGGCTTAGGGGTTGACACTTCTAGGCACCAGGGTCATGAAGGGTGTGGATTGAGTTTATAAAGCTGTGTTTTGTGTATTTATTATTTTTTTTTATGTATTTATCACTTGCAGGCAAAAGAAAAGATGGTATCCGAAGAAATACCATAGTCATCATTGTCATGAGTGTTTTGTGAGTATCGGAGCTGTCCTGGGACAAGTGGGGAGAAATCCTCTAGTTCGTTGTGGAGTCAATGGGCCCCTGTTGTCTATAAGCTGTTCCAGAGGTCACATAGAAAAAGGCTATCTAGTTCTCTCATCAGTTTATTTTTTATTTATTACAAGTACTTTATATAGCGCCGCCACTTTACATGTGTGTAGATATGCACTATATTGCCAAAAGTATTGGTCGGCCGGCCTTTCCACACACATGAACTTTAATGGCCCCCCAGTCTTAGTCCGTAGGGTTCAATATTGAGTTGGCCCCGCCCTTTGCAGCTATAACAGCTTCAACTCTCCTGGGAAGGCCGTCCACAAGGTTTAGGAGGGTGTCTATGGGAAGGTTGGACCATTCTTCCAGAAGCACATTTGTCAGGTCAGGCACTGATGTCGGGGGAGGAGGCCTGGCTCGCTATCTCCGCTCTAATTCATCCCAAAGGTGTTCTATGGGGTTGAGGTCAGGACTCTGTGCAGGACAGTCAAGTTCCTCCACCCCAAACTGGCTCCTCCATGTCTTTATGGACCTTGCTTTGTGCACTGGTGGGCAGTCATGTTGGAACCGGAAGGTCATTCCCAAATTGTTCCCTCAAAGTTGGGAGCATGAAATTGTCCAAAATGTCTTGGCATGCTGACGCCTTAAGAGTTCCCTTCACTGGAACTAGGGGGCCAAGTCCAGCCCCTAAAAAAACAACCCCACACCATAATTCCCCCCCTCCACCAAACTTTACAGTTGGCACAATGCAGTCAGGCAAATACCGTTCTCCTGGCAACCGCCAAACACAGACACGTCCATCAGATTACCAGACAGAAGCGTGATTGGTCACTCCAGAGAATATGTCTCCATTGCTCTAGAGTCCAGTGGAGGTGTAATTTACACCATGGCATCCGACGCTTTGCATTGCACTTGGTGATGGAAGGCTTGGATGCAGCTGCTCGGCCATGGAAACCCATTCCATGAAGCTCTCTACACACTGTTGTTGGGCTCATCTGAAGGCCACACCAAGTTTGGAGGTCTTTAGCTATTGACTCTGCAGACAGTTGGTGACTTCTGCACACTGTGCGCTTCAGCATGCGCTGACCCCGCCCTGTCATGTGACGTGGCCTACCACTTGGTGGCTGAGTGGCTGTTGTTCCCAGTTGCTTCCACTTTGTTATAATCCCACTAACAGTTGAGCGTGGAATATTTAGTAGCCAGGAAATGTCACGGATGGACTTATTGCCCAGGTGGCCACCTATCACGGGACCACGCTTGGAGTCACTGAGCTCCTGAGAGCGACCCATTCTTTCACCAATGTTTGTAGAAGCCGTCTGCATGCCTAGGGGCTTGATTGTATACACCTGTGTCCATGGAGGGGATTGGAACACCTGAATCACATGATTGGGAGGGGATTGGAACACCTGAATCACATGATTGGGAGGGGATTGGAACACCTGAATCACATGATTTGGAAGGCTGGCCCAAGACTTTTTTTGGCAATATAGTGTATACTGTACTTTCACATCAGTCCCTAACCCTCGAGGGGCATCACAATCTAAGGTCCCTAACTCACATTCATACATACACATACTAGGGCCAATTTAGACAGGAGCCAATTAACCTACCAGCATGTTTTTGGAGTGTGGGAGGAAGCCAGAGTACCCGGAGGAAACCCACACAGGCACAGGGAGAACATGCACACTCCAGGCAGGTGGTGCCATGGTTGAGATTCGAACCAATGATCCTAGTGCTGCAATGCGGAAGTGCTAACTGCTTAGCCATGCAAAAGAGTCCACCAAAAAAGAGATGACTATGGTTGCAGTGATTTCCTCAATATGCCTTATGACTGTTACACCTCCTGGCATATGTACAAGTCATTCTGCTTGACGCTTGTACAGAAAGTCAGAAACGCACAAACGTGAACACCCTAATGCGTCATTTAGCGCTCCACCTTTTTGTATTGCTTATGCGTCACTGCTTTGCCAAAAATAATGCCAGCGTGTGGACATCCCATTGGATGCAGCCTCCATACATAACCTTTATTGAGCGATGACAAAATACTTGAGTGACAGCTGTGACTCTGCTGGGGCTGCTGACATCACATCCAAGATGGCGGCACCCCGCAGTTGTCACTGGGGCTTTTGGAAGGCTTTTACAGTTACATAACATACATGTTCAATGCAGGTAACGTTTTATAGGAAGATTTTTGTTGAAATGAATGGTCTCTTGAAGGTGTCCTAAAGAGACCCTGTCACGCTACCCATTTAGGACACCCAGCAGCGCTGGAGCCCTCAATAATGAAATGGGGCACACAGGGTAGAGGTGACACATGACCTCACTTATGTGACAGTATTCATGCCTGAGTGGCCAATCACGTTGTCAGGTAGGAGTGGGGGGGACTGTGAGGTCATCTACCAGTTTATTTGTACAGTCAGTCCAGTGTGGCTCTCTGCGGAGTTGCCCTTCGAGTTCCCATAGACAAGCCCAGTACTGGTCCTATGATCTGTGTATCCTGTGAACATAATGTAATTCTGCTGTCTCCCCCCCCCCCCTTCCCCCAGCCTGGTCTTGCTCGTCATACTCAACATTACACTGTTCCTCAAGCTGTCAAAGATCGAACATGCCGCACAGAACTTCTACCATGTTCACGTCCAGCAGGATAAATCCGCCAGGTAGGACGAGTTTTATGGTCACCTTATGTGTTCACAGATACCACAATGCTGTGCAGAGAACTCTGAGCCCATCACATCAGTCTCTGCACCAGAGGAGCTTACACTCTAATGTCCCCTCCCCCACAGTCACATCAGTCTCTGCACCAGAGGAGCTTACACTCTAATGTCCCCTCCCCCACAGTCACATCAATCTCTGCACCAGAGGAGCTTACACTCTAATGTCCCCTCATCCCCACAGTCACATCAGTCTCTGCACCAGAGGAGCTTACACTCTAATGTCCCCTCCCCCACAGTCACATCAGTCTCTGCACCAGAGGAGCTTACACTCTAATGTCCCCTCCCCCACAGTCACATCAGTCTCTGCACCAGAGGAGCTAACACTCTAATGCTCCCTCCCCCCACAGTCACATCAGTCTCTGCACCAGAGGAGCTTACATTCTAATGTCCCCTCCCCCACAGTCACATCAGTCTCTGCACCAGAGGAGCTTACACTCTAATGTCCCCTCCCCCACAGTCACATCAGCCTCTGTACCAGAGGAGCTTACACTCTAATGTCCCCTCCCCCACAGTCCCATCAGTCTCTGCACCAGAGGAGCTTACACTCTAATGTCCCCTCCCCCACAGTCCCATCAGTCTCTGTACCAGAGGAGCTTACACTCTAATGTCCCCTCCCCCACAGTCACATCAGCCTCTGTACCAGAGGAGCTTACACTCTAATGTCCCCTCCCCCACAGTCACATCAGTCTCTGCACCAGAGGAGCTTACACTCTAATGTCCCCTCCCCCCACAGTCACATCAGTCTCTGCACCAGAGGAGCTTACACTCTAATGTCCCCTCCCCCACAGTCACATCAGTCTCTGCACCAGAGGAGCTAACACTCTAATGTCCCCCCCCCCCCCCACAGTCACATCAGTCTCTGCACCAGAGGAGCTTACACTCTAATGTATATTATAATACATTATATAGCTCTGACATATACCGCAGCGCTGTACAGAGAACACTGAGCCAATCACATCAGTCTCTGTACCAGAAGAGCTTACACTCTAATGTGTGTGTCCCCCCCCCCCGTCACATCATTCTCTGCATCAGAAGGGATTCCCGTGTCCTATGGGGACTGTCCTCTGGGTTTCCTGGTGAGATCTGGATGACGCATGTCCAGCATTTTGGCTGTAGAAGCCGTCAGTCTAGTTACTTGTCAGTTAACTCAACAATACATTTTGGGGTTCTGGGGGGGGGGGGGGGGGGGGGGGAGGGGAGAACACACAATTTGGGTGCCTTGGAGGCACTGTATCGTTATAATACCCCAAACCTCGCTTCCATATAGACTGGGTGTGTTGCAGGATTGTCGCCCTTTAACCCATTTGTATTGGAAAGTTCACGGATTGTCGGGATATTTGCAGGTTACACTCCGGCACTGTCGGGCGAGGAGACGAGTCTCAGAATAACCATCTTGGACCCGGACTGAGGGGCATCCTACAGGACTCCATTAGCACACTTGAACAGGTAATCTTGGGGGGGCAATTTACAGACTGGCTGCACCCTACAACTCTACCATCCTGGGTGGGGTGAAGAACATAAAGCGCTGAACGTAAGGCAGGTATCAATGCAGACAATAACGCAGCTCTGTACATTAACTGCATGTTTTCATACAAGCGGCGTACATACCTAGATTTAACATCAGACCCCTGCAGTCCCTCTACAGCAGAGCTTAGACTGTGAGAGGGAGAAGCAGCAAAAGGAGGTAACCAGTTGTGGTGCAGTGCTCATGTGTTAAGCAGCATGCTGATAGGAGGAGAGAGCAGAGGATGAGTTCACCAGTCTGCTGTTTCTCCTTTCATTGTCCACTCAGAGGCTGGGGGGGGGGGGGTTAAGACCTGTGTATTAATTGCAGCAGAGAAAAACCAGGTCTATGGGTCTGTGCTGTGTGGCAGAGCTGTGTTAATCTCTGGACCGCATGGACAGAAATACTAATCCTTTGGCAGGTAAAATGGCTCTCGTATATGTATTTCACCTTCTACATTTAGGTCAGCTTTAAACATGATACTTCCAAAATACACTAAAGCCATTGTTGCTGAATAAACAGAGAACCCCCCCCCCCCACCACCCCCCCACCCTTTTCACTGAGGAGTACAATTAAGCTGAAGTTTAATCTTCTTAAATTTTGTCCTCCATCCTCTACAGTGAGGAACAGAAGTATTTGAACCCCCTGCGATTCTGCAAGTTCTCCCACTTCTCCATCATGGAGGGTCTGACATTCACATTGCAGGGGATTCCCACTCTGAGGACAGAATTCTGGAGATCCCATTGTATGATATATAAAGAATGTATTTGTCTTGCACGGCTGAACAGAAGTATTTGAACCCCTGAGAAGATCCGTGTTAATATTTGGTACAGAAGCCTTTGTTTGCAATTACAGAGGTCAGACGTTTCCTGTAGTCCTTGGCCAGGTTTGCACTGCAACAGGGATTTTGGCCGACTCCTCCACACCGATCTCCTCTAGATCTGTCAGGTTTCGGGGCTGTCGCTGAGCAACACGGAGTTTCAGCTCCCTCCAAAGATGTTCTATTGGATTTAGGTGTGGAGACTGGCTAGGCCACTCCAGAACCTTGATATGCTTCTTATGGAGCCACTCCTTGGTTCTCCTGGCTGTGTGCTTCGGGTCGTTGTCATGTTGGAAGACCCAGCCACGACCCATCTTCAATGCTCTGACTGAGGGAAGGAGATTGTTGCTCAAAATCTCACAATAATGGCCCCATTCATCCTCTCCTTAATACAGTGCAGTCGTCCTGTCCCCTTCGCAGAAAAGCACCCCCAAAGCATGATGTTACCCACCCCCATGCTTCACAGTAGGGATGGCGTTCTTGGGATGCAACTCATCCTTCTTTTTCCTCCAAACACGACGAGTGAAGTTTAGACCAAAAAGTTCTCCTTTGGTCTCATCTGACCAAATGACTTTCTCCCCATGTCTCCTCTGACCACATGACTTTCTCCCATGCCTCCTCTGGATCATCCAGATGGTCATTGGCAACCTACAGACGGGCCTGGACATGTGTGATGACCTTCCATGCAATGCATGATTGGAAACCATGACGGCGTAGTGTTCTACCGACAGTGACCTGTGAAACTGTGGTCCCAGCTCTCTTCATGTTATTGACCAGCTCCTCCCTTGTAGTTCTGGGCTGATTCCTCACCTTTCTTCTCATCAGTGATACCCCACGAGGGGACATCTTGCATGGAGCCCCAGTCCGAGGGAGACTGACAGTCGTCTTTAGCCTCTTCCATTTTCTAACAATTGCTCCAACAGTTGATCTATTTTCACCAAGCTGCTTGGCAATTGCCCCGTAGCCCTTTCCAGCCTTGTGGAGGTCCACAATTTTGTCTCTGGTGTCTTTTGACAGCTCTTTGGTCTTGCCCATGGTAGTAGTTGGCGTCTGACTGACTGTGGGGTGGACAGGTGTCTTTATAGAGCTCAGACAGGTGCTACTAAGTTAGATGAATGAGTGGAGTAGAGGTGGACTTTTTAAAGGTGCAGTAACAGGTCTTTGAGAGCCAGAATTCTTGCTGTTTCTTAGGTGTTCAAATACTTCTGTTCAGCCGTGCGAGACAAATACATTCTTTACAAATCATACAATGTGATCTCCTGAATTGTTTTTTTTAATTCTCTCTCAGAAATCATGGAGGGGTCTGAAATTCACATTGTAGATGCATTCCCACTCTAAGTGGGAGAACTTGCAAAATCACAGGGTGTTCAAATACTTCTGTTTCTCACTGTATCTTATATTACACAAAGTGAGATCATCAGGGAGTCTCTGTGCTTCTCTATGCAATGCAGGCAGATTATAGTGGGTGGGAGGGGCTAGCAGGGGAATGCTGTACATGGCTTCCTGAGAACATCACAGGACTCTGCCTCTGTACTCCTCTAAAGAGCTCTCAGTCCTGATGTAAGCAGTAGGGTGGCTCTTGAGGGGGAGTTGCACAAATCTCAAAATGCCTTGGTTGGTGGGTGTCAGTGTGGAGGAGTGGGAGTTCCTAGGCAGGCTGTATTTGTATGCAGAGCACCCTGAGTAACGCCATATGTGATGCTGAGCCTCCGTGATTGAAACAACTGAAATCCAATGAATAAAAGGGGCGGGCCAAGGACCGTCGGGCTGACCTTCAGACACTAATCTGTTCCCTTATTGCCCTGTTATAGTTGTGATTTCTACTGTTTTCTGTAGCTGTTCAGTCCTGACCGTCTCCTGCATGTCTGCAGTCTCTGACCGTCTCCTGTAGCATGTTCAGTCTCTGACCGTCTCCTGTAGCATGTCTGCAGTCTCTGACCGTCTCCTGTACCATGTCTGCAGTGACCATCTCCTGTATCATATCTGCAGTCTCTGACCTGTACCATGTCTGCAGTCTCTCATCTCCTGTATCATATCTCTGCAGTCTCTGTCTGCAGTCAGTCTCTGACCATCTCCTGTACCATGTCTGCAGTCTCTGACCATCTCCTGTACCATGTCTGCAGTCTCTGACCATCTCCTGTACCATGTCTGCCCCTCTCATGTCTGCAGTCTCTGACCATCTCCTGTATCATGTCTGCAGTCTCTGACCATCTCCTGTATCATGTCTGCAGTCTCTGACCATCTCCTGTATCATGTCTGCAGTCTCTGACCATCTCCTGTATCATGTCTGCAGTCTCTGACCATCTCCTGTACCATGTCTGCAGTCTCTGACCATTTCTCGTACCATGTCTGTAGTCTCTGATAATGAATATTCGCTAAATTTTATGTGTGGCCCTTTGGCGATTTCCAAAAAAGTTCACCGCCACTGGGCTGGACGTCGTCTGGCTGAGAAATGAGAACTTTAGAACGGGCTGTAGTTTCAGGTAAATTCATCAACTTCTCTGTTTTCTCTTCCAGCTAAAAAATTCCCTCCTCCTCCTCCAGAAGAGCTTCGACCTCATGAACAAGACAAAAGGTG